AGCCGGCCCGGCTAAAGTAACTGGATGGCCTACCTGCCTGTCAGCCTTCCATCTTTGCACAAACTTATCTCGTGCCCTCATTGGTCATGTGCGCGTTCGTGTGTGTTGGAGGAGGGGCTCTGTAAGGAAGTGGAAGATTTTTTCCGGCTGTGTATTTTCAAATTCTAGCGCACTCGAGCCGGTTTCTCCAAAATGACCTACCCCACCTTTAAATTAACCCTTCTCTTGCGTTAGGAGGTCGTACCCCCCTTCCCATACTATTTTCGGTCAAAATTGGCCGGTGTGTTTTGCACAGTGATATTTCTGGAATACATTTCTTCTCACAAAACGTACTTTTAGGTGATGCTTACAAAACAATGCATTTATAGTATAAATATATACATGTGATCAACAGTTTTCCTATACAAAATCTCCGGTTTATAAAGGTATTTTCGGGCCAGAGAGGAACTTTATTAGAGATGTATAAAGTTGAAATGGGGACACAGAGGGGAGGACACCTTATTTACAATTGTATAAATAACTAAAGTACACACAGGCTCTTAAACTATCTATCTATCTTACATTATATCAAATATATGTTTATATTTCACCTTTGTTTGTGTTTTTCTTAAATAGCCATGTCAGGTTTATACCACACGCTCACACACTCTTAGTATTTATGTGTATAAAAAGATTAAAACAAGGTAAAAAAATAGCATCAGAGCTCAGTAAATGTTTATGTGGCCTAATATAACCAACATGTTCACGGTTTGGAACACAGAATCACACACTGCTGCCATTATGTGTGTGTGTGTGTGTGTGTGTGTGTGTGTGTGTGTGTGTGTGTGTGTGTGTGTGTGTGTGTGTGTGTGTGTGTGTGCATGTCTAGACATAATTTGTCGTCCAACCTGGAAAATATTTTCTAAATTGTGCCTCATTTAGAGCAAAAGAGCTCCCAGAAGAGAAACTGGCGGTTTGTTTTAAATGACACTTAATGACTGTGTGTGTGTGTGTCCGTGGTTGTGTGTGTGTGTGTGTGTGTGCGTGCGTGCGTGCGTGTGTGTGTGTGTGTGTGTGTGTGTGCGTGCTTGCGTGTCAAGGTCAAACAGCTGCTGCTCTCTGAGTAACAGCAGAGAAAACAAAGAAACATCAGGCTAATGTTTAAATAACGACCATTAAGTCCAAATGTTTCACATACTGTAGTTTTTTGGAGATACGTGTTATGTACTTGGTGAGTATTTTCTTTTAAAGAGGCCCTATCCTGCTCATTTCCAGGGTCATATTAGTATTTAGTGTCTCTACTGTGACATGTTTCCATGCTTTAATGTTCAACAAGCTGACGTGTCTCTGTTGCCTCTGCAGCGTCTCCACATCCAAGCCTGGCTGGGAAACCGTGTCTGAAGCTCAAAATCTACGTCAAACCCACCAGTGAGTCTCGTTACATTACTTTTTTTTCTATAAAACCTGTGATTTATTAATAATATATACTATGACTTTTTGTATGACATATTAATGAAATATTAAATGTTCGGTTACATTTCTATGAAATCGTTTACTATGACAATTGTTTTATAGTATAGTATGTCAGAAAGAAATGTAGTTAAATTGTGTCATAAAAAGTTATATGTATGTGAGATTATTTTTTACAAAAGTCTTTTTTTTTTCTTTAAAGTCTTTGATAGGTATGTCATAAAAAGTCATTGTCTATTATATCAGAAGGTTTCATGGTATGGCATAAAAAGTGAAAGTATTATAAGTCATAAGACATTAATACAAAGTCATAGTATTGCACTTAATAAAGAAAGTATTATGAAAAGCCATAGAGTATATTATTCCATAAATAAAGAAAAGTAAAGAAAAACTAATAGTATAGCAGAAATAGTATACGCTAACTAAGTGATTCTCAAACTTTTTTAAATAATGAATCCACTTAGAAAAAAAACATCAGGCTGGTTAATTGTCTTAAATCAAGTCAAAGTCAACTTTATCGTCAATCTTTCAGTTTGTGTGTACAAACAGAGAGATATAAAAACCTGTCTGAAAATGAGCTGATCCGATTTTGGCCACTTTATGATGTCATAACCATGTTTTGTCTTGTTTAACCATTAGCCAATCAGCATCCAAGGTACCCCCCCTCTTATCACCTGAATCTCCTCCTAGAGCTCCATTGAGTTCTTTGTAACCAAATCTCTCTCAGAGGGGCGTGGGGAGGGGCTCCTTATTTTCATCTAAAGTAACAGACAGAGAATCAGCACTTTGGAAACAGCGCTGAAACAGAGGGGATTATGGGTAATGCTGCAATGATCTGTTTGGTGTTTCAGCCAATCAGAGACAGGTTCTGTATATATCTGAGACCTATGATATATTGATGAAGAACAGTACAATAGGAGACCTTTTAAACATCTGATAATAAGTATTTTTCCATCTCTATCAGATGACTCTGTGTATGAGTCTCCGGAGCCCTTCCTGACGGACGACACCACCGGTGGATGCAGCCTCGTTCTGCCCGGTAACTCCCTGCTGCCCACCATGTTGCTCCTCCTCCTCTTCATCTCCTCATAGCAACTCCTGCTCTGCTCCTCTTCCTCCTGCTGTTGGACTGCTCTCCGTCCTCCCTGAGACAGGAAACTAATACAGCAAGGCCCTCCTCTCCCTGACCTCCGACCTTCCCCTGAACGCCACTCAGCAGCTCAGCCAATCAGAGGAGGCCAAGGTCACTGGGGGGGAGGAGCCAGGAGACGCTCTGTGATGGATGTTTCTGCTCCGACAAAGTCTCCATTGACCCCCATGTTAACACTGATGCATACAAATATATATATACAAACACATATATTAAGGCAATGACTAAACATTATTTTCCGCATTAATTGTTTATAAAATGGCTGAATAATTGTAAAAAAAAAGGCAACATCTTAAAAAGTCCCAAAACACAATATTAGAAACACAGATTTGTGCCAAATATTTGCCTGGAATCAGAATACTTTATTTATCCCGCTCGGGGAAATTAGGTAAACATGACGGTCAGTGGAGTCCAGTTTCAGTCCAAGGAGAAGTGAAACACATCAAGGCTGTTTATAATCTTTGGATTTTCATCACAGCTTCAATAAAAGACGGATCATCAGCAGCATAAAGAAACTCTAAGACGCCAGCTTCAGTCGGAGCAGCGTTCACCGGCAGCTCTCGGTTCTGCTGCAGCCTACATCCGTTTTTATCTCTTTGCACTGATGACTACAGTCACAGAAACCAGCCACAACTGTCAAACACAGCAGGTCATGTAGCAAAAGTTAACATGGAACCTTTAACCCTTCATAAAGGGTGAAACTAACTTGTTGGGATGTCATTGGGGACATTTTCAAACTTACATATTTATCTCACAACTGCTGGTAGAACACATCTCACAGAGTTTGAGATCTGACTAACGGAAAATAAAATATTTGTTACATAAATATGTTTGCTAATGTAGCTTCAGACCAATGGGTCAAGCTTTTGTAGCTTCATAGACAAGGGGAAGAGCTAACGTAGTAGCCTATCACAGAGGGACAGCGGGTTTATGTAGCTTTTAAAGTAATGCGTTACAAGTGTCGCCGTACAGACCTGCGCTGCTATAGCTTTACAGACCAACAGGACAAGCTAACGTAGCTTCACAGAAATATGGGAGGAGTTAACATAGATTCACAGACATATAGGATGGGCTAAAGTAGCTTCACAGACGCACAGGACATGCTAACGTAGGTTCAGAGACATACAGGCTGAGCTAACTTAAGCTAAAAGACAAACAGGGGTATCTAATGTAACCTCACAGACATATGGGAAGAGCTAAAGGAAATTCACAGACACACTGGATGAACTAACTTAGCTTCACAGACATACAGGGATCAGCTAACATAGATTTACAGACATATGGGATAAGCTAACTTAGCTTTAAAGACGTAGGGGCAAGCTAACGTAGATTCACAGACATACAGTGCAAGATAGTGTAAATTTACAGGCATACAGGATGAGCTAACTTAGCTTCAAAGACATAGGGGCAAGCTAACGTAGATTCTCAGACATACTGTACAGGATGAACTAACTTAGCTTCACAGACATAGGCTACTGGGCAACATAGCGTAGCCTCACAGACATACAGGTTAAGCTAAGGAATAAGCTAACAAGCTTAAGTAGCTTCAGAGAACCTGATGAGCTTACCAGTTTTAAAGACCTATGCTAACGTAGCTATGACAAGCTAACATATCTTCAAAGACTAACTTAATGTTACAAGACTTTGTATACAAATATGTAGGCTACATGCATACATAATGACATATTCACCCTGAATCTAAAGTGTCTGATCCTTTTTCTGTTCATTTCGGACATTGTGGCTCATTTCTGTGACAGTAATCGCTTTCAGTGTTGAATACAAAAAACAAAAAAGACTTTTGTCTATCTTTTTTTTCATCATGTCTCTTGTCCAACTTCAGCAGCAGACGGCCTTTTATTTCTGTAAATCTGCCAAAGACTATTGTTAAACTTTTCTATTAGCAGGTTAAGTCATACAGCAGCTATAGGTGTCATTGTGGCCCCGCCCACTTCTGCCAAAAGGGGGTGGGGCTATATCAGGTGGAGGAGTCACATCCATTTTTTTTTCTAACTTGTGTCGTTTTGTGGTAAAAATAAAAACGAATGTCAAGCGCAAAACTAAATTGAACCAATCAAAAATGGCCTTTTTCCCACTGGTGCTGAATTTTTTGTGACTCAATGACTTGGTTTCTGGGAAGCAGCAACACCGTGTGGACGAGAGGACGTTTTGGTTTTTTCTCTTCATCTCTCCATACCGTCCCTCCGTCTTCATTGATGGAGGAAGAGTGTGTCCTTGTGTTTGTGGACGAGCAGGGGCATGCTGGGAAATGCAGTATCTATATAAAACGAACGCACTGTGATGGATGACGGACAGAAGCAAAACTGACTTTGTTTCGTTCGTTTAGGTAGAAAAAAAGTGAAGTTTTTATTTTAAATTTTTGTGCCATTTTTCAGTTTTTAAAAAACGCAGGACAAAATTCATATAAGATATGAATTTCATGAAGGAATCAGTCAGATGTTTGTTGTTGTTGTTGCTGTTGTTGTTGTTTTCCTCTTTGTTCCTGCTTGCATCACAATGCATTCTGGTCTTTGTAGTCCTGTGCTTTCTGGTTATGTTGATGAATAAAGGTTTTTGGTGGGTTTTTTTCCAGTTCATCGTCCTTTTCGTGTGGATGGAATCAGTTTTTTCGTGGCGTAAGAGATGTTTAAGAAACTGCAGGAAAGAAAAACTACATAAAAAAGTTCAGAAGGTGGTTTTATGAGCGGGGGTGAGACCTCCCTGTTGTCTGGTTTACAGCGTCTCTGAAAAGAAAATGTTTTTCTACATCAAAATGTCTGCATATTCTATTCTCTGAAAGACAAAAAAATCTGTTTTTGTATATTTTCTTATTGGATGCTTATAAAGTCATGTAAAAGAATGCATTTATCTGATTGGCTAAAGAGCTAACGAGGGGGTCAGAGGTCATCGGGCCTCTTCAGGACATATTTTTCTGCGCTGCATGAGCAGAAAAAATTAAAATACATTTACTGAATTTACTTTGAAGATAATTTCAGAGAGAAAATGTTAAGAAGTGTATGAATCTGTGTTTGATAAATTCACCAATAAAACAATGTTCCACAAAAAATAAACCTTGTTCTTTGTCCCGTTTTTTCCTACAAGAGACAAAAAACACCTAATTTGTATTCACTGCCAGAATAATTGAACAAGATACTTAAAGGGGACCTATCATGCAAAATGCACTTTGTGATGTCTTTTATACATGAATATGTGTCCCCGGTGTGTCGGGGAACTCACGCAGCGTCAGAAAATAAAACCCTCTCTCTTTTCCTCCGTACCCAAATCTCTAAAAACGGGCCTACAACGGAGCTGATCCAGATTTGCGTCAGATATGACGTAATATCTGAAATGTGGACCCACGGGCCTATCAGAAACGTTGCTATCAGAAACAATGCCCGACTGTTTTGGACGTAATATGGTCGGTGTGTACATCAGCATCGCTAACACTCAGAGCTAACCTGTACTGGAGAGCATGTGTGTGAAGAAGCAGGAAATAAAAAGGAACTCACCTTGTGGTATAATCGGCAAGAGAGAAAGCCTTTGAGCTCCATACTGTTTCAGAGATAATCCTTGATAATCCATGATATGGCGTTTCATCACGGCAGTTTTTAGTTTAAACATTAGCTGCCGGGTCCCGCATGAGCTCAGCGCCCTCCTTTTATTTTAATTAAAGCTTTATACCCAAATCAGCACTTTTGAAACAGGAAGTGAAATAGAGGGATATGAGACATGGCGAGAATGGGTGATCTGTTTAGTATTTTGAGCAAAACACTTCATAGACATGTTTTTTATATATTTGTATATATCTGAGACCTATGCTATTGCCTAAAAATAGCATGATAGGTCCACTTTAATTAAGCTGCCATATGCTTCAACAAACTGCTTGTTATATAAACTGAAAGCGTCTGAACCCCCTCCCACTAAACCATTCCCAAATCATAACTGGGGGGACTGTGTCAAACTATTTTGTATTATTCAAAAACAATTTAACAAGCATTCACACTTCACGTAGTTATTGGCCAGGTGTCTGCAGGATGTGAAACACTCTCCAAAACATTAT